ATTAAAAATAATATAGAAGAGAGAAACACTCTATATTCTGACAGTTGGAAAGGATGTAACAACCAACAACTAAATGAAGCAAACTACAACCATTTCCAGGTGAATCACCGGTATAACTTTGTCGATCCTTCAAGTGGGGAGCACACTCAGCTCAGAATGATTATGGGGCTCAGCTAATAGGAAAAATAAAAAACATTGAGGAACTGCAAGGCAACACCTGGAAACATAATTATGTGAATTTTTGTGGAGGCAGGTCCACAGAGAAGAGGACCCGTCCATCGCTATTTTATAAAGCATTAAGCTATTTTGTCTCCCAAAATAAATAAAATGTTGTAACATAAAAGTGTTTTGTTATTATTAAATTTATTTTTGCCTATTTCAATTTCCATTAATATAAATAAGAAGGTGGATATTATCAGTGTTCAGGTTATAAGCAATGGCCGATAGCAGTCTTGACGACCGATTAACTCACAAGTATCCATAAGTCTTTTTTCTCAAAATAAATCAGATTAAAAAAAAATTGATAAAAGGATATAATTTGTACTAAATAAAATAACAAACATGTAACTATTATGTATCTATTTATTTAAAATTTAAAATTGAAACAACTGATTAGATTAGGATAAATGAAATAAAAAAATCTGTACATCATAGCCTGCCACTTTATATGACAAGAACCGAGGTCTAGTATCGATAAATATAGGAGTAGGTATAAAGGAACCGATTAAATACACAATTTGATATTTTACTATCAAAGTTCAATTACAGAATCCAGAAATTGGATGGAAGTCAATACAAAAAGTACCCATTACAACCGCTTTGTACGAGTTTTTTGTATCAGGTACTTTTTGGAACCAGTATACATTAGGAAAAGTCATGACTTAAATTTCCATTTTACTCTATTCCACGAGGTCCATCGATAGGCATTGTATGAAGAACTTCATCCAATAATTGTAGTGCTCTGTGCAAATGAACCTAAAAAAAAAAAAATTATATTTAATATTAACCTAATTGTTAAAACTTCTTTGTTCTAGACCAGAAAAATAATAATTGAGGCTAGAACCAGACAGATAGATTGAGTTGATACAGTAGGAGTCCCACTAATCTAAAATCTATTGTAACAACCAGTCATAGATAGAATTATTTATAAGATTCTGTCATTCATATCTATAGATACTTTCAGTTAATCAAGAATAATCAGTGATAGGTTCAATTACCATTTAATGAGTGAATTTTTATTGCCGATTTTTACCGTCTTCGGAAGAAGACTATATTATATATTATATAGGTCAACTAAAAAAATTGGAAGGTCTGGAAAAATGGTTGAAATATACGGAAGTCTTTTTTCTAAAAGAAAAGAATCATGTATGTAAGGAGAATGCTCCCTGAACAATGGATGTTTGGCATAGTTTGCCAAGAAACAGATGAGTGTTTCATTGTAAAAATAAAAGCAACAACTCTATTAGAAAGTATTAAAAATAATATAGAAGAGAGAAACAATCTATATTAACAAATTCTATTTGTTAATAATTATTTGTTAACAAATTCTATAATTCAGAATTTAATCACTGTATATCAAAATTGTAAGCTAAAAATATTTCATTTATGTTGTTAATTTTACATGTATTGATTGAAATAATAAATTTTTTACCTAAGTGAAAGATAAAGGATCAATTTGTTGTTAATAGAAAAGATATTTTTACTCATCTATTTCTTAAAATAAAGCTAAGCTTATCTGAAAAACAGTTAATAAAACACTGTAAAAGTTTTATAAGTATTCCCTCATTATTTTATTAACCTTTGCATTCTGTTGTCACCAATATAACATTAACAATTAGTGCTTTTACTAATGAAAGATAATTAAAAAAATGCGAAACAAGTAATGTAGAAGGTTAACTTGATTTTGTTTTGCATGGAGGCGATTCAAATGAAAGATTAATTGATGATATTGGTAATGCAGGACAGTCTCGATAATCCAAACCCTTAATAATCTGAAACTCTTGGTAATGTGAAAAAGAAAGAAAGAAAAGCTAAAATTGATGGATGAGAGATGGAATGGAAATGTCTCTGTTCCTCAGTTAATATTACTGGAATTGTTTTGTGTGGTAGTATCAAAATCAAATTGTTGTCTCTAAAAGGAAAAGATAACAACTACAGGATCATCCAGAAATCTCTTTATTATATGTGGTTTTTGCAGTAGACAATCTAAGTGTATCTGATTTCTAAAAATATACTAGCTGAAAAGGCAAAGTTTTTCTTGAATATTTTTTTAAAAGGATGACAAAGCACATTTTATCACCAGTTAAAATTAGCTTGATTATTTAAAAAGCAGCATTTTATTTAATTTTTGCTTCACTGGAAACTTTCTTTATATTAATTTTATATTACATTAAAGATAGGTTATAGAAAGACCAGAAAGATATTTAATATTTGCTTGGGATGGGCGTCGACTACCGAATCCTGTTATTTTAAAGGAATTTGCGAGATCAGGCGTTTTCTTTAACAGCGAAATCAGAGACTCAACTTACTGTAATACACACCTTTATTAGAAGTTGGTAAAAATGGTTTAATAAATTGATGTTGTAAGCGGTTAAGTATTAAGTACAGCTGTCAGATCCATACAAGTTCCCTTTATGCAAATGATACCCCGAATCAGTGGGTCTCGGAAGGAGTTTAATTATATTTCAGCTATTTTTTAAGGGTCCCTTTGAAGTATTCCATTGGTGTTCTTACAAAGAGTGACTGATGGCAAAAATCTGCTTACATTTGCTTTCATTCACTGAAAAACTTTTTTGATTTTGCCCTCATCAAAAGCTTCTTACATTTCTTCAAATCTCAGGTATTCAAATGCCCATTTCTAGCTCAGGCTTGGGGTAAACAGGGCGTTTCATCACCAATTTCTTCATTTATTTAATAATTTTTACTATATTTCGGTCAAACTTAGAGCCATTAACAAGTCTTATTTAGTAATCAATTGGCATTCTTCATGCCAATATTTTCCTTAATTTGTTTTAATAAAGAACAAATACGTCTTATTATTTAAAAAAGTATAAGTAGAGAAAAAACCATCGCCTTTTTAGATTTACATGGAGAGACTTTCAATGAATTACTATTTATGACAACGAGAATAGAATAGATGGATAGAAGTTATTTAAAACATTTCACTTTTATCATAAACATGAAATAAAATTGAACAGAAAATCAAGGTCATAAAATAATAAAGTAAATACTTAATTTTTTTCTTTTTAATCCTTATCAATGTTTTTAGTTTTGACCCTTACAGGTTTTTGTAATATGGCTATTGTTGATAAGGAATTGTGAGTGTACTATGAGAATTACTTGGCCAAACTTATAACAGTTAAAATGACTGAAAAATAATCCATTAAAGAGAACAAATGTAAAATTAGTTTATTAAATAAAATAGAAAACCTTTCATGGCACCTTATACTTTTGGCCAATGCTATAAAATTATAGTACATAGATCAAATCTATTTTTTATGTGAGAAAAACTTCGTGGCTTTCATAAGTTAGATGTTATAGTACCAATGATAATAGCTACGAATTTTTTCAGAATTAAGACTTAAACTGATTTAAAAATAAGAAAAGAATGTCACAGTCAGATTGCTTATTGAAATATTAAAGACAGATATTCATATAAAAAAGCTAAAAATAATTTAGTTACTCACTTCGATCCAACATGGAGTATCTTTTATAGAACTTCGGGGATAATCAGGACCCCATCCTTTAACAAAACTTAAACGTAATATGCACAGTCTCCTTAAGTCATCAACTCCAATACAGGCAGCAGAGCTTAAACCTAAGAAGTAATATTGTTTTAATATGAATAATGAAACCAGAAACATTTAAGATATTTATTTAATTGATTAAATTTAATGTTATTCTAATAATTTCCAATATGTAAAAGACAAATTGCATGTACTTATTAATTTTCTTCCATCCTCTATTATAATTATGATAATTTTTGTAAATAACACAATATTAGGGATGGACAATAGTAGATAGTATAGTGACTATCGGTAGTTTATATCCTCCCCTTAGATACAAATTATTTTAAATATTTTTATACTTAAAGGAATAATTTTAATAACACGTCTTTATACTTTTACCCATTCACGTTCAAGTTAAAAAAGAATAAAATCTTAAACTATTTTCTCAGAAAAAAAATGTTACCTTTACATATCCTTTTTAATTTATTTTCATAAAAATGTATATAAAATCAACAATGATGCCATTATAGTTTTATTATATTTTAAACTAATATTATAAAATTAAATTCAGAAAATTATGATCGTGAATATTAAAAGAAATACACATTTTTTTTACCAAATAATTTAAAAAATCCTACTTATCATCGCATTGGTCTAGAAGTCAACGAGAGGAAAACTAAGTATATGAGAGTTGGCGGTGAGGTGGATCTGAACTCTCCATTTGAGGTAGGTTCTTTTAAGTTTGAGAGAGTGAAAAGTTTTATATACCTTGGGTCTGAAATTAATAGCAAGAATGACATGGCTCAAGAAATACAAAGAAGGATCACGGCTGCCAATAGATGTGTCTTTGGACTTGGCCGACACTTAAGAAGTAGGTACCTCTCAAAGAAGACCAAGCTGATCATATACAAGACCCTTGTTCGGCCTGTTTTGACATATGGCTCAGAGGCTTGGACGGTGACTAAAAGGGATGAGATGAAGCTGAGTGTCTTTGAGCGAGGAGTCCTCAGAAGGATTTATGGTCCAGTAAAGGAGGGTGATGTCTGGAGGAAAAGAAAAAATAAGGAGCTCAGTTCTCTCTATGCAGACATCGACGTAGTCACGTATATTAAACTGGCCAGACTAAGGTGGGCAGGGCATGTGGCCAGAATGAGCACCCTTGAAATACCAAAAAAAAAAAATGATGGAGGAGCTGCACCTCGTAAGACGGGTAGGAAGGCCGAGGACGAGATGGTAAGGCCGAGGACGAGATGGTTGGACAACGTGGCCTATGATGCGAGAACCCTGCTTGGTGTGCGGAACTGGAGAGCTGCAGCAGAAGACAGAGCCAACTGGCGGAGGCTCTTGGAGGAGGCCCAGTCTCGGTAACGGGATGTTGTGCCATACATGAATGAATGAATGAACTTATCATCGCAGATGTTTCTTGTTTGAATTTTACACTCATGAAAGTGAAGGTACATTACATTTTTCTATATAAATGTATTTTCCCACCAACAAACATTTTAATTGTTTATTTAATAATTTTTATTAGTGCCTTAACAAAAATCTTTAAGAATGTATCCAATATAAATATTTATTATTGTTTTGAAGCTTATACAGCATTGAAGTTCATCCACATTCTTGATAGTTAATCAAATTTTCATTAATTTGTGTTGCGTTAATTGAATTCGGTGCGAGTCACAGGATGTTATTTAGTTAATATCATCTATTTTCATATATTTTTTAATAGGAAAGGCTTTTATGTACAGTAGAATTGTTGACCAGTCAAGTCCAATACCCTGGCCAGTTCTATTTTTGCCCTGCTTATCCTATTTGTAGCTATTTAAAATGGAAATATTAACAGAAATATACAATACTGGTTAATTTTTAATTTTATCATTATGGAGACGTTTCGGATAACAGTTCAGAATCGAATATACAAATTCAGTAAAATCCGATGTCGACCCACATTGTAGGTCTGCATATGAGCTGAGTAGGGAGACGTGTAAGCGTACGCTGAAGGCCAACAATTTGGTTTTATATGATTAAAATTTTAGAAAAAATCTTCAATTTAAATTAATGTTTCTCCTCCAATCATTGACTACAGTCTTCTCCACATTCAGTTCTTACAATTTTTTTGCCACAGACTATCCACTACCAAATCTCTTCAGAGACTAGAGTCCATATTCGCATCAGAGCATTTATTTTTTCTAACTAGATTCATTCATCAGTAATTGCAATAGTCTGTTACAAAGATCAATCTAAACTAACGAAAGAGGAAAAAAATAATTCCAGAATACAATGTAACTACATCATGTTTTTTTTTCTCACTTGGCCAATTAATACAAATGATAATTAATGTGAGATCAGTTATTATTACTACTATAATCTATAATATTTATAAATATTTTAAAAAGGACCGATCAACTAACTTATTGCTGGAGCAATTCCACCGACACTGTGTGGTCCTGGAATGTGACCAGCAACTGCCGCTGCCTGAGCTGCTGCAGCTGCTTGTGCAGTAGCCGCTTGGTGTTGCATTTGGGTATGACACTGCCTCAAATCAAAAACCTAGTAAAAAAAATAAAATAATATAAGACTAAAAAAACCTTCCTTGATTAACAGTCAACTTAAGACAAAAAGAATTTCCAGATCGGAAAGATAGTTATTAACATAATCTTTTTTCTACATTTTTTTCTTGTTTTCAATATTTTACCTTTTAGTTGATTATACATTGTAAAGAGCTCTGACATATTAAGTTGACATAATTTTTAACATTATTTCTACTCATTAGCTTTCAGCAGGTTAAAACCTTCACAGTTTGTTACAAAATGCATGTAAATCAAATCGATTTCATAATTAGGGTTTGTTCTGTTATATAATAGTATGATATATAATGATAAAAAATAACAACCAACAATAATAGATAATTATGTCTTCGTAAATTCCAAAAGAACAAAAAAAGAGCCGAGTACAAGAAATTCGTTAGACCAACTTAAATGAAGATTGAGGGGATAAATAATATGACGGCCCATTATGTACTAAAATAGAGGCGATTTATTCAGGAAGCCTTGTCTTGGTAAGTCATTTCTAAAAATCTTTAGTCATACTTTAATTTTGTATTAAACATTAATACTGAATAAATCTGACCGCTAATAAAATTTTAATACTTAACATTCAACTAATAATACAGTACCAGCTCAAATGCATAAGCAATTTGATTAACCATGTAAACCTTGCATATCTTCCATTTACACTTTATTTAAAAATAATAATCTAAGGGGGGAATAATGAGAAGAAAAAAAATACCAATCAACAAATCTGACTTTGATATACGCAGATGGGTAAATTTTGTGAACAGCATCCCCTGGTGATCTTCCTGCTTCCCGATCAAGGTAGTAGGACTGAACAAAGACAGAATGATCAGAGAGACACCTCAGCCACACGTCTCCCTCTCCCCTCAAATCGAGTTGAACACCTTTACCGATGTGCAATCTGTAAATTTTAGAAAACCTTTAATATTTATAGGTCACTTTTTACTAAATATTTTAATAATAGAATAACTACTAAGAGTTAGAAACCAAATAATAAAACAACATTATCAAAATAAAAATATTTAAAAAGTATAAAGGAAACATGAGAAGGAGTTGATCGTGGAGTGGAATACTAAATTAAACAAGTAGAATTATTTAATTTTTGCCGACGTTTCGACTCACTTCATCAGGGCTACAAAAGATACAAAACATGGTGAAAATAAATGAATATAAGTAGATATAAAATAATAATAAGTTGTCTGATACAGAAATAAAAAGATAATATCAGAGATATAGTAGGTGACAATGTAGTTAAAATATTATATAGTTAAGTATTATATGTAGAAGATACAAACAAAAATGGAAAATAAATATGAATAAAAATAGAAAATAAAGGAGAATATAGCATGTAAGTTAACAGATTGCGATAAAAGATAAGGAATGAGTGTATAACAAACTAATGAAGATTACATTTGATAAATGTAGGTTAACAGATAAAGAAAATGAATGTTAACGAATAGATAGATTGTAAATTGAATAAGTATTGATAATTTCAATTTACTTTATATTTTTATTATAATTATACAAATTTATTATTAGATAGTAATTAAAATAAATATTTAACATTTTATTGAAAACTTCTCGAACTACAGCTACCGTAAAACTGTTGCCAGGGCAATCCTCGATAAAGGTTATATTAGACATATGGGGACGGGGAAGGATGATGGGGGAGGGAAGGAGGGCACAAGTTTGCTTGCGGGCTCGGATGACATCACGCGAGCATAACAGTGCCTGTGAGCTCTAGGTTGGAGACTCCTGGTATAGAGCATATATGTATATTTATCTCTACTGAATATGTTTCTTTGATTTTTTAAAATATATGATAATATATATATATATATATATATATATATATATATATATATCGCCAACCTAGAGCTCACGGGCACTGTTATGCTCGCGTGATGTCATCCGAACCCGCAAGCAAACTTGTGCCCTCCTTCCCTCTCCCATCATCCTTATATATATATACAATTATTTAAATATTATTAGATTTTACAGAAGTAGCATCCATTTTTCATTATTATATTTATTTTACTTTTTTTATTGTTAAGAGGTTTCGCCAACCTGTTAGAGGAAACTTATTGTATTTTATTTTACCATTCTGCATTTGTTGTAAATATTTTTGATAATCTAATGTTTATTTATTTTCATGTTATTTATTCATTAAATATCCTATTTCTTAAACTATCCGGAACATCAATTTTTCTGTAAAAGAAGTGATTGGAAGAAAAATGAAGCTATCTCTTACCACAGTTTTTATGATCAATTTTCAAGAAATTAACATTTTATTTTGAATATATATATATATATATATATATCTAAAAACCATAATTTATTACATATATAAATGTTTTTCCATTTAAAAATAATTCTTTTTTGTATTGGGTATGGAACAGATTTAAAATCTCTTAACCTGTTAACTGGATATGATGAAATATCTGTTTCTTTCTTTTATAATATGTTAAAAAATATTTTGTCGTAATAAATAAAATCAATAAGTTATAAATTATTTCCTTTTATTACTTGAGATGTGATGATATTACTTATAATTATGAAGAAAAAGTCCCCATTGTAAAACAAGTTGAACAAAATTTTATTCCTCAGTTAACAGGTTAATTAATATATTATTGAAGGAAGTTAGTCGACTGTTCTACATATCATGGGTGATAAACATTCAGGATGCAGTCATTATAAGTCTTTTATTAGTGCCGACGTTTCAACCCAAACATGTGGGTCATCATCAGGGCGTGGTTCGAGCACTAAAGGTATTCAAGTACTGAAGAATACCAGCACTTGAATATCTTCAGTGCTCGAACCCCGCCCTGATGATGACCCACATGTTTGGGTTGAATCATCGGCACTAATTAAAACATTATAATGACTGTGTCCTGAATATTTATCACCTATGTTAATTAATATAATTATATCTCTTAGTTTTTTAAAGATTTGAAATACGAATCATTCTCAGAAAGTTGATTTCACTTTTACTTATTAATATATACTAGAAAATTTCCTTCAAAATTACTTATTTAAGAAAAATCATAATTAAAGAAAAAAATATTCACTTGCCTAGCTCGTTCACTCTGTTCTGTACGATGTACATTACTGAGCGCTCCAAGGCAAAACCGGTTCGCTCCTGAAGGATCAACATAGCCGTCAACAGTAACACTAGGCGAAGTAGAAGAAACTTTGAAAGTCTCCCCAACCTGTGTGTCAAGTTCAAAGTAAGCAATGGAACACCAATGCTCAGGCGCTGGCTGACTTGAAAGTAAACCGCCCACTCCCATTTCAGTTCCCACTCCATGAGTCCCTGAGAAAAAGTAATAGATAACAAACAAGTCTCTTGATAAGAAAGAATTTTATTAGAAAATTCTTTCTTAAGAACTAGGAGAGGATTTTTCAAAAATTTCTGCATAGCACAAATGTTTCACAAACATGCAATAACAAATCAATAAACACTGGAAATATCTGCTACTTTTTTAGTATACATGTACCTAAATTTGAAACTGTGGCATGGAAAAAAATCGGGTGACTTTCAGCTACAATAGAATTCAAATGATATAGGACTTATATAAAATTGAAATTGTACTTTTTAAATAATAACAAAAGGGCTAACTTTTAGCTAAAAACTTGAAATAACATGCGTGATGCAGATAGGGGGTATGGCCAGAATCCACTTTAGTGTGATGCATAGAGCAGATAAACCATTGTTCTTTAAGTGTCTCTCAGCTCTACTTTATAAATATCTACTTATAAAAGCTAGTCAAATTTGTTTTAAACTAGACACTTTCATTCAGAGAAGACAGGATGAGAGGAAAGATGGAATGATATTTCTTGCATAGAATTTTTAAACTGGAAAAACCAATATAAGCTAATAAGTATAAAGTAATCAATGGATTGAACTAGGCGCCGATAGTTCATGATGTAGCCATGCCTCCACTCTTGAGTATATACACGAATATATACATACGAGTAGACGAAATGTCATTGGACCACTCATTGACATTGAAGCACATTTCGGTCCTTAATTTTTGGTTATTGTTATTGATTTTGATGTTCCTCATGCCAACAGAACATAGCTTTGTAATTTGTTAATACATTCTAATCCTGTTATAAATATAGTTAATTTATACATCAAATGTTATCAATTAAAATCAAAAGAATGGAAAAGATAAAAATCACTTAAGTTGATTGTGGCAGATATCACGAGTGAAATACGCCATTGATTTCGTATGTTTTAACAGCCGCTTAAACTTCTCACATATTAACGTTTCTGCATGAGGTACATAGAAAATTTAATACTCTTTCAAATTAATTATAATGAATTTCTTCAAGAGATGAATAGATTATGAGTTTATAGAAAACAACGATGAAAACAGGTATTTCTTGTGAAATAAGCAAACAGTAAATTTGCTCTAACTCCTCACTCACTAGTCCTTCATTAAAAAGCTAAATACAAAATTGATAGTAGATTTTAACTTCTTTAACTAAGTATATAATAATAATTTCGATAAAATACATAGATTCGGAGCCATGTACAAAAAACTAAAAAAATTTCAGAAATTTTGCTGTTTTTTGCATACATCTTAGAACACAATGGAAAATTTCATTCAGGAACTTCGAATTCAGATTCAGCATCTCAAAAAACATAAAATACCAAAGAGAAACCAATATTTGAACTTTTTCCTCATCCAACTACCATTCGACTGGACTAATTTGATGACTTTGACGTCGCCAATTTTCAAAACCCAACCAAGTACATCATCAATCAAGATGAATTCTCTTTTAGGGACGTATTCTTTACACCATATTAAATTTTAGTTGTCTGTTTTTCCGTTAAAGGAATTGTCCAATTCCGACTAACCAAAGTTGTGTGTTCAGATGAGGTTTATCTGGAATTAAAAATGGTTAGTAGCTTTAAGTCCTTCAGTTAAATGAAATGATCAGTAGCTCCCAGTCTATAAATGCCTCATGAGACAAACGTATAGAAGATATTTTATTTACCATATTGAAACAATAAATGATGTTTAACCTCAAACATAATAGATTACAGCAAAAATTTCTTTAACATTATAAGACATAGTAAAAATATCTTTGCAACAAATATTTTTGTACAAATGAAGAAAACTTTCCCTCGACTTTTGCAAAATTTACTGTGAATTCTCGACTTATTCCAAACTTTTCCTGACCATACAAAAATCCCTGATTGGTAGAAACCCTATTTGAATAAATTAGAGCAGTCACAACCCTAATTTGCATCATTGTAAACAATATAATTTTTAAATTCTATTGCTTACAGTATGTATTTTGAAGTGGTTGGTGAGGAGGTGGTTGCATACTTTGAGTATAGGTCAGAGTATAACCACTCCACGTTGCTTGCTGGGTAGGACTCGTGTAACCCTCACTTGAAGTTGGCCCGGGGCTTTGAGAATTTGTTGTTCTAACGCTATCACTCACTGAAATGAACATTAATCAAGTGAATAAAAAAAAAAAAGAATAAAGAAATCTTCAAATATCAATCCCTCAAAGACAATCTTTTCATTTAGGCATTGAAGAAGTGTGACCTAACAAAATAAATGAATGGTTGAATATACAAACATAAATTAACGAAAATAACCCATGAAAAAAAAAATATATAGTACCGCCATTACATTCAAAATAATTGTTAATTAATAAATATAATTCATAATTTTTTGTGAAAAACAAATAGATACTCAAAAACTCAATTTGTTTGCATTCAACTAGAGTTGTTTTTATTATTATTTTTCCTTTCCATCAAGCTATATCTAGCACTAATTTAGCAATAGATACTGCAACTATAAATGCTTAGAATTGATGATACATAAGTTTACTGTCGATAAGAGAGCTAGAGAGAGAGCGATATAAGTTCAATTAATGTTATAAGCAGGAATTCCCTAAATTAGGCTAGAACATCTTACAAAATATTCAAAGGTGATTTCTGGGTTGTATGGTAGGTAAAAGTTTACCTTTCTTTTTAGGCAATGTCGAGAAACAAAAAGAAAAATGTTCAAAACTTTTCAACACACATGTTAAGTAGGACTTAGTGCTTTTTTAAAACAGTCCTGATTCAATTACATTACATGTTAACAAATATTTCTATTGCAAAAGATCTTGTAATTAAAGCATTTTGAATTTAAATGGTATGCTAGCTTTGTACAAGAACTTATTAGAGCTGACATGATTGTAGAAAACAGTTTCAATCCAGTTTTGATAATAAGTGAATATGATGATTACTTCTTTTTTATAACCCGCTAAATAACTATAATCACTATAATAATACAATTATATTTAAATATTTTATTTTCATTAAAACTTTAAACAAACATCTATACAAAAAATAAATTAAATCACATCTATATTTAACAAATAAAAAAATAAAAATATCAATATCTTACCAACTGGACTTTCAGGAGTATCTATCGGAGGTTGTGACATAGGTGAATAAAATGCTGGCTGGGTCGTAGAAGGTTCGGTAGGTGATATGAGAGCAGGCGCAGTACTCGTTACTAAAGTGCTACCACCTCCTGAACTATTGTTTCCTGAAATAATAATTAGTTTTAAACAATCATTTTATACTTTTATAATCTGATTAAATAACGGTCTTAAATAGTCTGTACTCTGAATAAATCAACCATCAATTTGCAAATAAGAATAAACAATTATGAAAATCAACAGGATAAAATAAAGACCAAGTTCCTTGGCTACCTCTTTAAATCCAAGGAATGCTTTCTTCAATGCACTTTTGATTTGATCAGGCAATGAAGTCAAGGACATCTGCATATCCTGAAATATGAACCAATTTGTTAAACACGGTTCTACCTACCTGAATTCTTAATCAATGGCTTTTTCTTCTGCAAAGTTGGACATTGAGTAAGAAAGGCTGTCACCTTGTTTCCATCTCAACTCCTTCAAGAAGTCGGATTCAATTTTTATAGTACAATTAGATAGTATCTTTCTTCCAACACTCTAGTTCGGTCAAAGATTTTACTATTTGTCATAAGTTACCATTCTCATTAAACAATAGTGATCTAGCTGTTTTGGAATATAATATTATGACCTCTTCTGCAGTAGGTCTGTATATATGTATGTATATATATGTAGTATATATATATATATACTCATATATACAGACCTACTGCAGAAGAGGTCATAATATTATATTCCAAAACATATATATATATATATACATATACATATATATATATATATATATATATATATATATATATATATATATATATATATATATATATATATCTAGATATATATATATATATACTAGATGGAGATATGACACCTCAATTTCCTTCTATATACTTCAGTTCATAAGATGGTTTCTTTTCCATTTTTCCTTTATTAACTAGAAAACTGATTGGATTCCTTTAGCTTGCCTATACTAAACAAGTCTCCAGTGTGATTCCAACAATTACCAACAGATGACATCCTGGTTTGAATTTGAGGTTCTTTCTTTAACCTGAGACTTTCTGTGCTAGGATTTTATAAGAAAGTAGGATGTTGGCCACTTTACGCCTGTTTGGCATCCTTTAAAAGCCTCTTAATATATTCTTATATTTGAAAGCAATAAGCTTCCTAATAGTAGGTCAGGAGCAATCACAAAACTTACAATTTTATGTCAATTAACATTATTTTTTTCTTGAAGTTAAATTTCCTACAGTATACTTATATCCTGTCTGACTAAATCATTAAGGAGTATTTTCGGATCTTGTTGAGAACATGATACCAGAGTGGGAAGGTAGATTCATTCCTTCGGATTAACCGGCACTGTTAAACTCGAAAATATTAAAGTGGGCAACGCTTCAACACACTCGGCCATGACAGTCTCTATATTATATGGTATTGTTTGAGTATCATAGAAATTGTACCACATTTTCACAGGACAGAAGCTTAATAGAGTTTAAATCTTCAAAATTTGTCACTCTAGAAGTCCAACCACCAGCATATGTAAACACTGCACCAATACAAAATAAATATTATATCAAACAATTAGCAAGCCTCACCAAATAAATACTGTAAACAAACAGGCAGAAATAAGCACAGCATACAAAGCAGTGATAAAAAAAAAAAATAAATAAATAAATAATAATAATACTAAATAAATTAACAAACACTTACTGAGTCTATTTTGTTGGGGTGAAGCCTGTTGGCTCCATGCAGACCTCGATGGTTCAACCATTCCCCTTGGTGGTTGCCTTCCCTCCAGCTTATTGCTCAGATAACTTCCTCCTTCACCACCAACACTAACTATTCCTACATGATTCCCATCAACCACCACAAAACACAAGTGCAATAAAAGAAAATAATGCAAATTATAAAGTAAACAATAAAAATAAAAAGAGCAAACTAAAATTAAAAAGTGCTTAAAATAAATACTTCTAAACAGCATTAATAATTTTTTAAAAACAAAAGTAACATAGCACTTCCACTCCAAACAGAAAGAAACTACAACTACTAATTCAAATAACATATAGCTATTCTAAATAAATTCAAGATTTGATAGATCTTACGAAGAAATAACTTCATTAAAACCTTTAAATATTTAAATTTAATAATAAAAAAAATTTAAATAAAAAAGATATTTGAAATGAAGATCCTCTCAAAGAATATATGGAGTTCAAACTGCTAGTAGGAATGTAGGAGATACCTCAACTAGGAATGAAATACCATTTCCCGAAATCCAAGGATGTCCAAATTATCAAACTAAGCAGTTTAAAGTGGATATGACACGTATAAAGGATGTGAGAGGAGGAAACATCAAAGAAGCTCTTAATGCAACCACTGAACAGAACAAGAAGAGATAGGCCTGGATTGAAATGATTTGATAGTATTCAGGAAATATGGAACTGGATAGGATTTGCACATGACTCAAAACAGGGTCGAAGATCCGTTGTGATGAAAACATATCATGAACTTACACATAATATGATATGAACCAACAAAAAGTAGAGTTTCATTACAATATAATAAAATAATTGTTTATTATTTTGAGCTCAAACTGTGTCATGTAGGATGATGATAATCCAAATATAATAAATAGTCCATTCAGAACCTTAAACTTGAATTTAGGTTTCCTGGACTGAAAAATTACTGTTTTATTCAAGTACTCCTAAATTTTCTTCTTGAGAATGAGTACATCGCCTAAATTATGATCTTAAATAGTTATCCGTTACATCATGAAAATCAAAACTGTGGCAACATTGCTTACATACCAGAGACAGACTTAATTTTTTAAAGGAATTTGAATAAAAATTGATAATGAAATAAATTTTAAGAAGAAAATCTTCAACACTTTTGGGAATATTATATCAAAAAATAAAACTCATTAAATTGCATTGAATAAAACGAAAAGTTATTGGATTCAATACAAATTAATAAATAAACACAAATCAAGTTTCACCAAATCAAATAGTAAACATTGTGACGATTTTGAGAGTAAGTGTCAACCTCATGTTATGAAATAAGTGTCACTAGTAAATATTCAGCTATTCTTCAAAAGGAAACATATGATCATAACATGTACTGCTGATAACAATGAATATACTAAAATGATGATGAACAATATACTAAACAATAAGTTATTCCACATTAAACGAAGTGCAATCGTCTATAACAAAGAACAAAGTGGTTCAAAGACCTCAGGAGGTATTTCAAGCAGGGTGGAGATTTATGTAAAAAATTGGCAACCATCCTGCAGGAAAGTATCTGATAAAGAGGGAGTGATTGTGCTCATGTCCGATTATGGTAAGCCACGTGCTCCCTGGATATCTTCAAGAAAACTAAATGCTTGAAGGAAACAATTTGGTTCCTGGATCACAGCTGTCCTCCCAAAGTTGCTAGATGACTCATGGCGAAAGTCAAAAAGAAAATTAATTTTAAAAACATTTAATAAACATATAAGAAAATGATTGAACAATCATAACATGTACTCTAGCACTGTACTATTCATCTGTTAAGGATATCATTCACTCAAAGAAATTAAACCGAGCCTCTAAACAAGATACAGCTATATAAGAGACATTACGAAACAGCAATAGCATATTTTCAAGTTTTAATGTTGTTAAAAATGTAATGATTAATAAGTTACAAAAAACTTGAATCAATAGAAATGACTTGGCAAGTTCTACATCGTAAGAGAGATTTAACCAAGAAGAGACATAAATCATAAAATAAAAACAAAATAAGCAGCAATAAATAACAATCTAGAGACCAGAAGACAATAAAATCACATTTTATAGGGCTAATGAAATAAAAATGTTTTTCTTTATTGTTTATTGATATTTGCTATAGCAAAACTGATAAGAAACAAAGGCGATAAACAAAAGATCTTAAAAAGCATACCGTGAATAGGCTGTGGATGGAATTGAATAGGCTGCGGAGCATGATGCTGTACTGTAACTTGATCCTCGACTTCGATAGTTCCTGGCACAACACTATACTCATCCTTCACAGCTCGACTAGGTCCTGACTGGAGGCTCAAACCTGATAAATCTAACAATAAAAAATAAAATTTTACTAACAAACATATTTAAAAGCAGCATACAAATCAAAATTAATTACTCTTAAAAATATGCAATTAAGAAGTTAATGTACTAAAGCAAATAGTACATAACTAGATAAATATACAACACTGTGATCACTATAGTTATGTAATTCTTTATACAGACATAATTTGTTTCATTAATTTTATTTATCCATTTTTTATTTTATGAGGAAGAGTAGCATAATAAAAATGTGTTGTTTTTTTTAACCTCTTACAATTATCATAACATAAAACTAGTCTTGCAAAATAGCAATAAATTAAGTATATATTTAAAAACATGAATGATAAAATTTACCAAATGGAAAAACAAAACATAATATAAAAAAATTGAATACAAAAATTTTGAAAAAGCAGATATTGGAAAAACTTTCAAAAGATTAAAGATCAAAACCACACAACATAAAAAGGAATCGTAGAAATATAAAAACATTAATACTGCTGTATTATCGCAACACAACATAGTAAATAATCGCTATTTTGATGTTGAGAATAATAAAATTTAAATAAAGCCAAACATTAAAAAAATATGAAAATATCGGAAGTAATATACAACTAAAAATATAGAAAACAAGAAAAAATACAAAAACAGACATACATAAAATCGACTAAAAAAAAAAAAAAAAAATGCAGTAGGAAAATAAAACAATATGCTATGTAGAAAACAATAGGATTTAAATAAGTACAAATATACAGATAAAGGGAGAGGGGGATGAAACAACAAAATAAGATTAGAACAAAGTCCAATCCTAGACAAATAAATGCAGTGTTACACTGAAAACTCAATGAGCAATTTCTACAAAAAAAAATATATAACTTGTACACAAATTTTAGAATATGACAAAATAAAATGAATATTTGTAGATAAATAAGTGACTGAGAGTAAATCTTGCAATTTTATTATATCAAAAAGAAAATTTAACTGTAAATTGAACTATTATATAAATATATAATGATTCTATAACAATATTTTTGTTTTTCAGTTGAAAAAATTACAGTTTATACTAATTGAATTATTCACACAAGAGAAAAGTTGTACATCAAAATGTGCCAATGGTCCGAAAGATCAACAATGAAATATAAAAAATCCTATAAAGAATAGGAAAGATTATTTCATATAAAAAAAACTCACAAAAAAAAAAACACAAATCCTTTAATTATAATTAGAATCAAAACAAGAACAATCAAAACCTAAAAGTCCCTTGCAAGTGATAAATACAATTAGGTTAGGTTCTTATGGCAGGCTAACAAAATATTTGAAGCAATCAGGAGATTAATCGAATCACTGAAAGCCTTTTTGCTATGATTTGTTATCAGAAATAGGTATGCTAAATGGTTAGTCAAAATATCATAACTGTATTAAAATAAATACTAAATTTTAGGTAATCGTTAAAAAATAAAATAAAGTAAAAATTAACAGCCAATACATAAAAAAAAATAACTAAAATTTAAAATGAAATTTCAACAACTATGCTTTAGATTTACAAATTTACTCATTGACAGCTATTCAAATAAGAGTAAATATATACTCTAAATACATAGAGATATATTATGGGCACAAGTTCACAAATGAAAATTTTGGTTGACAGTTGGGGCAAGATCACATCAATCATATATGACTGGAGAAGTAGGTATGTGGAGAACTATGATCTACAGTTGGCTCGCAACGCTTGTATAAAGGATGAATGAAAGTCCAATGGGTCCTTTTCATGTGGGGTCAGGTATTTACTAGAGATCGGTCAAGTCCAATTAAATTTGGATACACTCAGCAACTTTTGGTTTTCAATGAGTATTATGATCTTGACCCAACTGTCAACCAGACATGATAAATGTGAACTGACAATAAAATATGTGAATTAATAACATTAGGGGAGTCCCAATGCACTGTCCGTAAACATACCTATGCCAGGAGATACTACTCTTTCATAGTGGTAAGGATTGACACAGACAGAATCACACTTGAGATCAAAAGCGTACTGGCAATATTTAACATGTTTCAATTCATTTTTATGAAGGTCTGGCCATCGCCATATCCTGGCATATATTACATGAGGAAAACCTTTTCTCCCTGCAACCTGTAACAATAACCACTTTTAGAAATTGCATGACAAACAGAGACACATTACTTCTTTGCTTCACTAACCTGAAGTCGACCATCTAACGTTCTCTGGATCGTGACACATTTACTGTGATGTGAACCATTAGTTGTGATGGCTGTTATCAAGCTGTCAAGTTCATCTCTTTTTTCCTGAGTTATTTTTAAAAAAGATAAAAAATCAAATCAAATTGTATTACTAGATTCACTGAATTAAGGCAATAATGAAGAAGAATAAGTTACAAACCTTTAATTTCTTTACTAAGCTTTCTATTGCTCGCTTGGCAAACCCTTCTGATTCACCTCCTTGTCGATGACACATCAGACTGTGGACAATGCTTAAACAAGCATCTGCTGATGTAGGTGTGCTAGTACTCATAGCAGTCATTTCCTTTCAAGTAGAATAATTTTCAACTGACTAAAGTACATCCACAATAAACCTGAAGAATAATAAAAGTGGTTTGTGGAACTAATCTACAGCATGGATGCCAGTCCAGATAGGCATCTTCGGTTTACCAGCATCACTCGATTCCATATTTACCTTTAAAAAGGAGAATAAGGCAAAATTGGTGCTGAGAACCACACAATACAAACATAATGTTAAGGTTAAGACAATAACAAATGTACGAGCGTTCCTGAATCACAAATACAAAAACATTATTGTCAGTGTTGATCTATCTCTACGCATACAAGAATACATTTCATTTCTCGAACCTCTTCTTCTTTCAAATTAAATAGCAAAAAAGTAATCTTAAAATTAATATAAAGTTATAAGCATCAACAAATACAATATCAGATGAATAAATATAGTTCTTCTTTGTTTGTTAAAAAACGTTGGCTTGAAATAAAATAGTTTTTTCACTATTTTAGTCTTTCTATGAACGCCACACCGGACTATCTCTTTAACTCAATTAAAACAGTTTTTTTAGTAACTTGCCAAAAAACAAAAAAAATAAAAAATGACACCATACTTATGAATGTATAATTAAAAATGTTGATGTTCTGCAACCAATAAACTGTGATTTCTAAATTATATGTTCATTATAACAATAGGATTTCTAAATTACACAAATTAACTATTTGAATATGGTGTGAACGTAGTTGATCGATGTAATTTAAGAAATTGGTCGGGGTTGCCAAAAATGAATTTAAAACGCACCAATTAGTGAGATTTTTTGTATACCAACGTTTAGACCTCCTTTTCTTGTCTCTTCATAAATTGTCATTGGAATCAAATCATTCTTATGGAAATTTTGAAGCGCAGTAAAACGTTTTCCATTGTTACTGTTTCTTTTTAGATAAACAAATATATAGACTTCTTTAACAAGTTAGCTGCGGTTACGGTCCCCGGGATCCGATATTCGTCTCGAATACCAAACGACCGGGATTGTTTCGAATTTAGTCTATCTTACGAAGTCTCTAAAATGGTAATTTTTAAAAATATTTGAATGGAAGTTGGATAGATGTAAAGATACGAACGTAAATAATCCGTCCTCCTGCGTCAGATGCCGTTAGGAACTTCATAACTAGTGTAGGTCGCGGGTGTCCGATATCGTCGAGAAAGGCATTTTTAAGGGATATCAGTCCCAGCAGCTAATGCGTTAACCAAAGACGCTGATTGTAGGTATTTATTACTTATTGGGTGTTTTATCCCCAACCCGGTATTCTGATTCGATATTGAATATTAAGTGTTTTAATTTTGTCTTGAGATTTCCCCATGTATCTTAAGTAGCGATCTAAGAGGGAGGATATAAAATAAATAGTATAAGTTTCAAATAGGAATAAATTACGAATTTAATTCAGTCAGGTATTTTTGTAAGAAAGATCTCTTAAGGTATAAATTGTGGTGTAAGGCAAGACGATGCTCTTACCTGTCTACTTTTATATTCGAGCTGTTCGTGAGACAGGTTTCGAACTTCGAGCCACTCAATTTAACAATACAGTCCAGTTACTCGGGGATGCTAGCCATACAAACAATACACATATGTTGTTTAAGGACTCCAAATATACCTAGATCGCGCAGTAGATATACCCTATCATGTTCGTAAACTTGCTGGAATAGGTGGTTCAGCATGGCGTCAAATTCATGCGTCTCTTCCAACAGCTGCCTTTAAGCAAAAGTTCAGTCAGTTGTAAATCTAAATCCGCTTTCTAGTCACCAAGAATTCTTTCCATATGTGCCTTCAGTGTATGCTAGGATTTATGATTCAATCATCCCTCAATTTTCACGAGATATTTTCCCCCATTTTTAAATTTTCCGCCGGAATGTGTAAAATGTATTTTTATTTTATGTTGTACACAAAGGCGGATTTACGGGGGGAGGGGGCTTTCCGGCTGAAGCCCTCCCCCCAAAATGGTAAAATGTAACCATGTTTTATGGTAAAAAATATTAAAAAATTATGTCTTAAAGTATTATTGCTCGTTTAATTATATTTAATAGGACTTCAAGAATCACTTAAACACCATTTCATATAGGTAGTTAGTATATTTCTGTTTTTCCAATGTAATTATCATTATATATATATGAAAAAATAAATCTTCCGGGCTGAAGCCCCCCAAAATTAAATCCTGAATCCGCTAGTGGTTGTACACACTTAGGTATCAAAGATATTTCTATTTTTTTTTTGCATTGTTCATTTTTAGCTGATGTTCTAGAAATGTACAAATGTTATGAAGGTTGTCTCACCCCCCTTTGTTTAATATAACCCAGGGGTCTCCAAACCTTTTTGGACCGCTGGATATGGCTTGTGATGAAAAACAAAAATCTTGTTCTATAAATAACACTGTAGCTGTCAAATGAATTTTCTAGAAGAAAAAAAAGATACAATCAATGTTTTAACAATCTCGTGTATGGGTGGTTTGCAAAATTTCATATTTTTCATAAATAGTTTATAAAATTTTACCATGTAATCAAAGAAATTGGAGAACCCCAATTACGGATCCAGGATTTAATTTTGGGAGGCTTCAGCCGGACAGATTTTTTATATATTTATATATATGTATATAATGATAATTACTTTGAAAGAAACTAGCTACCTATATGAAATGGTGTTAAATTCATTCTTGAGATGAAATTAAAAGTAATCAGAAGAAGCATAATACTTTTTAGAATATTTTTTTCATAAAACATGGTTATATTTTACCATTTGGAAGAGGGAGAGGCTTCAGCCTGAAAGCCCCCTCCCATAGATCAGCCTGTGGAGACCCCTGATCAAAACAAATAAGTTATATATTCAATTGTATTTTTTCAAGACATTTTAAATCATATAATAAGTAAAACAAAACAAATAAAGAAATAAAAATCCTTGCAACTATACAGAAGGAGATGGTCCGGGTGGTGGGCATAAATAGGCTAAATAGTGGTAAAACTATTTTATTGAAAGCTGACGTTTCGACCCGACTTTGCAGGTCTTCTTCAGGGGTAGAACGGACAAGATACAAAACGATAGAGAATTGTTGCAGTTACATAATATTTAGACAAAATTTATAAACAATGTGAATAACGTCGGCTTTCAATAAAATAGTTTTACCACTATTTAGCCTATTTATGACCGCTACCCCAGACCATCTCCTACCTTTATAATGCAACGGTCAACTATTAAATATTCAATAAACAAATTAATTTTAAATATTGAATTTTTACACATAATAAAACCTCCCGCCATTTTTTTTTATTCATCGCTCCTCCCCAATCAAAATTGAAAATCAGCTCCCATGACTGAAGATATATCAATATTAATTTTCATATTGCCGTAATCTATATAATCAAGTATTGATTAATACTAAAGCTAGCATTTATGAAAACCGCACATGTATATGTATACTTAGGGCTCCTCCACAACAGTGCACCAGAAAAAAACAGTTTCCTATAGGATTCGCCATAACTTATTGCCACCCCTCGGAGGTGTGCCCAGAAGAGTTACATCAGGGAAGTTACGCCATCATATTTTTTGATGGTGGAGGGAGAGGCACATATTCACAGGGTAATTAATTTTTGGAGAGAATATTTTTGAGGTGGTTTCAATTGGAAAGAATTTTCCAACTACAATTTTTTAAATTTTACTTAAATGAGGCATACACATTGGCCTTGGGAAGTATTCTTGTTTGATCTCATATCAAATCAAGAAATAGCTTCCTCAAATGCAATCTTTAATGACATTTCAGGGACAGGATGGCCCAGTGGGATAACTCATTTGTAAAACATACGGTGTTTTCTCTTAGAAAGCATATTTCTAATCTGTCTATAAAGTGTCATTTATAGAACAAGACTTTTTTTTTCATTACAAGCCATGGCCAGTAGGACTTAGTGGAGGCCTCAATGTGGCCCATTGGCCAAACAGTTTGGAGACTACTGTTATAGAAAGTAATTGTTGATATTTTTGATCAAAAAATGTTATTCCTATGGAAATTTTGTTGAGGAATACTAACTGCACATTTGGTTTTACTATATCAATTATCTTTAAAAAAAATATATAATACTAAAATTTTAGGGTAAAAATTAAGCAATGTGTTTTCAAGTTCATAATTAAAACCTTTTAAGCTCTGGTAGTTCCAAGACAGTTTACATGAAAAACTCATTAATATGAATATAATTATTTGAAAAAAAGAAAAAGAAAGTAAATACAGCCTTATATCTCAATAAAACATAATAATTTGAAACATTTACGAATCACTTAATTTTATTTTTGATTAATATAAACACTTTAGTAACGAACAGATTTGAATAAAATTTTAATATGTGATCATATGGAGTTAAAATGTATTAAAATTAAATAAAGAAGTTTTTTTTTGTACAGAAGATTCATTTACATCTAAATTGTAAAGCCTTAGCTTTCAAATAGTCCATATAATTCCAAATTGTCTTTTTTTCTTACTTTTATTATAGTTAATTTAATGTTATGTATTGTATATTTTACATATAATATAAGATTTATATTTATCTTCAAAGTATTGAAAATGTTTTCATTAGATTTTAAGGGTATTCACATTTAAACACTAGCAGATCCAGGATTTAATTTTTTGTGGAGGAGGCTTCAGCAGGAAAGTTTTTTTTTACATATATTTAACAATAACTGCTTTGGAAGAAAAAAAAAGAAATTAACTACCTATATGAAATTGTGTTTAAGTGATTCTTGATGTCCTATTAAATGTAATTACACTAACCATAATACTTATGTAGATATTGTATAATAATGATGTAGAGATGGTTGACCGTGATATAATATGAGAAGGAGTTGGTCATTTTAAAATTAATTAAAAATACTATTTTTTTAAAATTTGCTATTTATTTGACCACACCCTCACCCCTCCTAACCAACTCCTCAAATAATACTTTTAGAGATAATTTTTTAATATATATTTTTTTTTTATAAGATATGGGTATATTTTACCATTTTGGGGAAACCTTCAGCCTGAAAGCTCTCCCCCCCCCCTCCTCCTCCCATGGATCCAATTAAAATTATTTATGATAATAATCAAATAAAAGACAATTAGACAATTAGACAATTTAATCTTACACTTTTTTTATTTTATCAAAATAATGTAAAATAATTTATTTATAAATATATATAATTAATTTATAATTTATATATACTAAGCAATCTACAAATAAAATATTTATACAAACTTTATAATTTAT